AGTACACCAGTTTGAATGGCTTGCGTCTTTTCTTCTGTTCAGGCGCATTAATTTTACTACATTCCCCAAATGCTCACGGAATGAAACACCACAAAACGTCAAAGCCAGAACTGAACTAGTCATTTTGCAGCCGCCTTACTGATTTCAAACCAGAGGCCTCCAGAACCTCACTCAGAAACATGTGAAATCAAAGGGTTAAATGAGGAAGTGTGAGCAAACAGACCTGTTATCTAATCATTTAAGGAACTGGGTATGGGTGAGGTCCTTTTTGCAATCCACCTTGTCAACTAAATATGATAAAAGTGTGAACAAATCCATATCACACCATCAAAAAAAATGTAGTGATTCTTTAGGGGAAGCAATGTGAGATTTATTAAAATACAGCTGTATGAGTAGATTTCATGGTGTTGTAAACCTGAGTGCTGCAGCAATTAAAAAAGCAATTAATTAATTAAGATTTAAGTCATTAATGAATGCGTGCCCCCTGTTTAAATACTCTAAAGCACAAGTTACTGTGTCGTGGCTGCAGTTATTTTAAAAAGTCCTAGAGAAGGAGCTTCAAGTCTATATATGTTTGGACATATGAGAATGGATCTGAAGCCGAAAAGGGAAGATGAGCTCTATAAGGGAAGGGTGCAATTTGGATGTCAGAGGGTGGAGCTTAGCACCTGTGGGCTCTGATGCAATTAAATTCCTGCTTTTAAAATGAATAAATAAATCCATGAAGCTGCATTGTCATTTTTAGAGGAAGCAGTAGCATGTGGTGGAGTACAACCCAGGCTTGTGATATATGTTAAACTACATGTAGCCACATACAAGAGGTCTCTTAGCGAGTGACTGTGGTCGCCTGCTGCTTAGTTATGTCAGCTGTGCCATATTTCACTTTCAGTGCCCCCACCTTTGCACAGTCTCACAGACTCTCGCACTGTGATTTGAGCCGTCACTTTATGCCTACATCAGTGTTTTTCTGATGTAAGGACTAAGGACAAATGTGTCTCGTTCTGTAGCGTGCTTAACTCGCACAGCTCAGGTTGCTTCCATGGCAGAGTTATTCCTGGTATACCGTGTGACTTTACATAGTCAAATTCCATCGTGCTTTCTTCCACATATTCTAAATAAGATTCGTTAATTAACTGTTGAATCTTTCAATATATTCATCACGATTCTGCTGTGTGTGTGTGTGAGCTTCTCTTTTTAGCTTAGGCGACAAACTTTTATTTCCACAGCTTTTCAAACACTCCATCACACAAGTGTCTACCTATCTGAAAGGAACTTATCTATTTCGGGACCAGGCAGAGACTGCCCAGCACCGAGTTGGGAGGACAGGTGTACACAGAAGCGTCATTCAGCTAAGGCAGCAACAAGAAAGGTGACCGTATCTAGGACATTTTGTTCATTTGGTTAATTAACAAAATTGCTTCCAGGATGTGAATTTGATTTGATGATAATTTAATCAATCAATGTGTAATAATGTCGTGAATGTTATACTGTTATCTGTAATTTAAATTTGTCCCTCACCAGTGAGAGAGTAAAGTGCAGGGGTTACTGTGTATGTGCCATTAGACTAAATGGCTATTTTATCAGGTACACCTTGCCAATTTTAAGTTATACCCCCCCCCCCCTTCCACCCGACCCTTTGCCCTCAGAACTGTCTTTATTATTTGTGGTACAGACTCAGCAAGGTGTTTTCATGTTGCTTATACCAAATTCTGACCTTTCTGTTTAAATGTCAAAGCAGAAATCCAGACCCATTAGGCAATCTTGTTCAATTTTGGTGAGCCCATGTGACTTGTTGCCTCAGTTTCCCGTTCTTAGCTGGCAGGGTGGCACCTGCTGTGGCCTCCTGTTGCTGTAGCACATCTGTTTCAACTTGTAACTTATTCAGTGATGCTCTTGTAGACAGCTTGGTTGTAACAAGTGGTTCTTAGAATTATCGATTCTGTTCTTTCAGCTCAAAGAATTCTGCGCGTTCTCCCATCACCAACACATTTTCACCCAGAGAACTGTCACTCACTGGTTATTTCCTCTTTTTCAGACCATTCACTGTAAAAACCAGAGATGGTTGTGTGGGGAAATTCCGGTCGATCAGCATTTTCTGAAAAAACCCCAGACCAGACCATCTGGCACCAGCAACCATGCCACGTCACTTAAATCACCTTTCTTCCCAATTCTGTTACTTGGTCAGAACTTCAGGTCATCTTGAC